ACGAACCCTATGCAAGAAATGCAACTTAAAGCTTGTGACAACAAAGTTTGTGCCGTGTTTTTTGCATAACATGAATAGTTATGACGCCCATTATATCATCCGCCAATTAGGAAACGATAGCAAACACGGTGATACCAAACACGGAGGAGAAGTATATTTCTTTCTCAAAGTTCGTTACAAACACTTTCTCCGTTCGTTTTGTCGATACTTTCCGTTTTATGACCGCAAGTTTAGCCTCCCTCTCGGATAATTTGCGCACATCAAACATAGGGTTGTTCCATGAGACATCAAAAGAGTTTGCTGGCTTCGATATTAATTTGGTGACACGAAAAGGCGTTTATCCATACTCTTATACTTCTGATTGGGATAAGTTGGAAGAAAGGAAACTCCCGGACAAAAAAGAGTTCTTTAATGATCTCAGCGAATCCCACATCAGTCAAGAAGACTATGATCACGCATTAAGAGTATGGAAGCAGTTTCGTTGTCAAACAATGGGCGAGTATTCGGATGTCTACTTAAAAATAGACACCCTAATGCTCTGTGATGTATTCGAAGCGTTTAGGAACCTTTGTATGCGTACATACAACTTAGATGCCGCTCACTACTTTACAAGCCCAGGTCTGAGCTTCGATGCCATGCTACTCTGCACAGGTGTCTCGTTGGAATTACTCAGTGATTATGAGATGAACCTTATGTTTGAACGTGGTATCCGCGGTGGATTAACCCAGTCTACATTAAAATATGCGAAAGCTAATAACCCGAAAGCACCTAATTAAGCACCTAAGGACCTGAAGCTCCCTGACACATGGATAATGTACCAAGATGTTAACAACTTGTATGGGTGGGCTTTATCTCAATTCATGCCATTTGGAGGCTTTAAATGGGTGACAGAAGATCCTAATGAGACTCTTCAAAGACTAGATGGTATGGATGAGCATTCCTCAACAGGACTAGTGTTTGAGGTTGACATCTCATACCCGGAGAGTCTCCACGATGCCCATAACGAGCTTCCATTTTTGCCAGAAACTAAATGCCCACCCAATTCAAGAGTAAAAAAGTTGTTAACAATTTTTTTTATGTTTTCTCTTTATTTTCAAGGAAAAATGATGGAGCGTATGCGGTTGAGGACGAATATAGAACTCGTAAATACTCCGAAACGTGCGAGCAAACTAATAAAAAAACACAATTTTAAATACTGCACGACGTATAGTGAGAACTTATCTGCATTCACACTGGAAAACAAAATATTTGATTTTTGTAAGCCAATTTATGTTGGGTTCTGTGTGTTGGAGATAAGTAAAACCCTCATGAATGACTTTCATTATAATGTGATGTAACGACATTTTAAGGACCGTGTTGAAATTATGGATGGAGACACAGGTAATAAAAAAAACATAGAGAAAGAGAGAGAGAGAGCAATATGAATGAAGTTTACCATTATATATGTATGTAAATAATATTTAATTATTAATTTTAGATGTTCTTGTTTATTTGGTGAAAATTAAAGATTTCTACGCTGAGGTGACCGCACATCCTGAGATGTTAAAATGGTTTGATACTTCAAATCTACCCTCTGATCACCCTGCTTACTCTGTAGCAAAAAAGAAAATCCCAGGGCTTTTTTCTGATGAGACGAACGGTCTTACGGTTTATGAATTTATCAGCCTTAGACCAAAGTCGTATGCTTTCGAGAAAGAGACTTTAGAAACATCAGTGTCCTCGGAAAAAATTAGAGCCAAGAGGATTAGAGGGCATGTAGTAAAAAACCATTTAACCGTCTCAGATTTCAAAAGCTGTCTGTTCGCCGTCACTGAATCATCTGTCGCTGATGGCAAAGCTTTAGCGGTGACAAATGGAAAAACGGTGACCGCAAACATTCACTTGAGGGCAATCGACTCAACCGTTAAGAAAATAAATTATACATCATATACTCCATATAGGGAGAACATTTCAATTCGATCATATAAGCACGAAATTAAAACGATTAAAAACATGAAGATTACGCTAAACTGGCATGATGATAAGCTAGTCATTCTACCAGACCGCATACATATATTGGCAATCGGTCATTACAAGTTAATGTAAGTTAAAATAATATTTTAGTTTTAACTACACAAATATTAACCCGATGTATTGTATTTTTCTAGTGAACTTCAACAACAGCAACAACTTCAACAAAATCATATGCAACCTGATAATGAGAAGGAGGAGGAGGACATAGCTAATTAAGAGAAAGAAAAACTAAAAGGAATAATCCATGAGAAAAAACAAAAAATAAATAATAATTTAAATAGTTTATTGTGTATATTTTCTAGTCAATTTTAAATAAAATAGAAAAATAAATGTACATAAATTGTAAGTAGTAAAAATATAGAATATATAATTTCTTAATGTATGTATGTTTGTATAAAAAAAAAAAGGAAAATAAAATTAGTTAACTACTCATAAAAATGCTTGCATGTAATGAAAGAAAATATAATATTAATCTCATACAATTTGTAAAAAAAAGTGATATATATATATTTAAAATTTAAACAATTACATTATACAAATTAAATTAAAAGAGTAAACCATACACTGTGTATTTTAAAGCTAGTTAAATATATATAGATCGTTTTTTCTCATAGTAATTTTTTTGAAAATTGACATAGTTTTGATAAAACTGCGTGACTAATCCTCTACTAAAGTCCTCATTACCATTCTCGTATGGGTATTCAGCTAAGTTTAAATGCACTTTGAGATTGGTGATGAGTAGAAGGGAAACGTACATTGTGGAACAAAAGGACGATTGATGATCGATGATTCCATTGTTAGGTCCTAATTGAATCATCTCTTTGTGTTTCGGGACTAGTGCAACAAAAAAAAAATGCGATCACCACCGTTAACCTACCTCAACCTTTGCCGCTCTATAGATGATTGCCACCCGTACCGTCCTAACCGTAGACGTTATACATATATAGGTAGCATATAAATATAATGTTAACCAAACGCAAAAACAATATTTATTTTCAGGTCTATATTGAATGGGCATAAACGAACATTTTCTTAATAAAATTGTATACACGTTTGGGTAACATTATATTTATATGCTACCTATATATGTATAACGTCCACGGTTCGGTTGGCGTGTGCATGTTAAAATGTGTACAATAAATTTAACGTTTTCAACACAATTTTAATGGTGTATAAATCCTGGTTACTTAGCCGATGTTACAAAAATATGTATTAGGACCACACACATCGGCACACGCATGGCAGGAGGTTTTTTTGCGGGGCAAAACAAACATTCCCCCCGAAACCTTACCGAGCCTACATACCTAAAAATTATGGAGTCACGACAAATAATATTCGGTGATAGGCATTTCAGTGAACGGTCAGACATTTTACTTGCTAAAATATTAACAAAAAAAAATATCGCAATGCAAATTCTAAATTACCAACTTGCTTACGGAGTGACATGTTAAGTTCGCGATTTAATTTTGATCATGTGTCTAAGTACCCGTTAAAATACGGGGTAAATCAGGTTCGAAAATATTCTAGTGCTTTTAAGGAGTGGAATGTTGCATATAGTTGTAAACGTTTCAATAATTGTGATTACGTTTGCAACTCATATGTTTGTTGGAGCAATTTTGAAGGCGTAGAGAGGCAGCCCGAGTTCGGGATAAGAACTTTTGCAATCAAAGACATCAATGCATTTTTCGCAATTATGCGTTTAATGCATTGTAAAAAATGCAGACAACCACTGCACCGATGGTACACGATTGACCCATCAATTGCGAGAAATTGGAGTTTACTCACGCATGACAAGTTTGTAAACTATGTTGATTTAGACATTGAATATATTAACTTGTAATTTTTTTTACTAATATTAGATTTAAGAAAACAGTGATAGTTAGTGTAATTTTTTTACTAATATTAGAATTAAGATTAGGATTGTAAAATAAATAGTTCTACTTAAAATAAACTTATTTTTTAGTTTAAAAAAACCAATGCCTCATTTTATTATTTAATATAACGTAAATTATAATTTACTTAAAACTTCATTTTTGGTTAACTATATAACAACAAGCGGCTCAACTGATTATTGCAAGTGTAGTCTAAAAAACTATATTAAAAAATTTAAATTTAAGAAAAAAGTATAATATAATAACTTGCAATATATATTTATATATATATATATATATACTATTAGATAGACTATAATATAAATTTTCGGTATGTAGGTTTAAATCGACGCGTCAGTCTGACGCCGAAAAAATCGTTATTAGAATTGGCATATATAACATGAATATGAACCATAAAATATAACAAAAGGGACAAAAAAAATAGTCGTTAGAAATCTTTGACAATACCTTTGATAATATATAATATAGACCGACCGTATGGTGGCGCCAAGCAAGATGGGTTTATCAGATCTCTGTACACCATATGAACTCTTAGCGTGTATTATACAGGTGCAAATAATTTGGCCGTAACAGATGACACCTGCGTTTTAAGATTACATTTTTTGGTTAGCGCTAATTGCGAGAAAATAACGCCTACATTTTTGGGGGTGGCTTATGAATGCAGAGGAAGGGATTTTTTTTTTTTTTTGGAAGGAGTTTGCAGTGATCAGCATGATCAATTATTATACTGTGTACAACCGTCAGATGTAATTTTGCTAACCTACCGTCAACAGTGTCTTGTCAACAGTAGTTTTTGCTCAGCAGTTTACATTAATTTTCACTGTTTAATTTTATATATATCGATTTTGTGTTTTTTTTTAGAACAAAGTATCGTATTGTAATCTTAATATTATTGTATTACCGCATATAACATATTAACGCATTTAATCTAGTAGCTTAAATAACATATTAACACATACTAACGCACTTAACACATTTTTTAAGCTTTTTAACCTATTAGCATAATATTACATATTTTTAGCATATTATTATTATTATTTTAGTAAACTTATTAAATTCTTAAACATGTATAAGTGTAGTTTGTGTGGTAAATCATTCTCTACAAGCTCTAATCTTAATAGACATTTAAAAGTCCACCAAGGTATTAGGTTTGCATGCGAAGAATGTGATTATGACTTCAAGTATCAAGGGAATCTATCCAGACACTGCATTGCCAAATACAGTAAGAAAATATTTTTTTTGTTTATACTTAAAAAAAAATGTGATTTAATTTAATAAAATATAACATTTATTCAGCTGGTGCGAGGCGAAACAGGCGTCCAGGAAATCCTCTTCAACAAAGGGCATCGGTTATTCAGCACACATCACACATGCCTTCAACATCTGGTTTAGGTTAGTAAATGAATTATTTTTTACAAGTATATAGTGATTTTTTTTATAAGAGAAACTTGAAACACATCACCAATATTAAATTAAAATATATTTACTTACACAATGAAAAGAAAAAAAAATAGCTTATAAACAAATATATTCACAATATATCATTGAATAGACCTTTAAATTTAATTTAAAAAAAATTATATAGCCATTCATATATTTTATAGTTATAAGCTATTTTTTCCTTTTAATGATTCAATCCGTTCAACAATCTTTAACATTTAATCTATACTGAAAAAATATTTTTTCCAATACAGGTCGACAGGCAGAACAACAGTTTTGGGGAAGCGCAGACGACGAAACATTTGTCCAAGCCGAAAATAATATGGCGTCAACTTCAAGAGTTGCTACAGGTTAGTGAAAAATATGTATACCGCATTAATTTTTTATACGTTAGGTTAGGGTAGGTTACCGTAGTAGGTTTTTTTATATGTAACATTCACTATAAATTATTTAGTAAAAAATATATATAGTTATGACTTTAATATATTGTTTAGAGTAAATATTATACATTTCACCCTACCGTCCTGGCCAATTTTTTTTCAATTTATTAACACTTAGACACATTTTCACGGTTTATATTAAGTAAGGCCATTATTATATTATTAGGTGTAGATAAAAGATCGTTGGAAGAACTGTGTGACAGCGAAGGCGATGAGGCATGCTTGCAGGCTCTTGATAGTATAACGGGCAACAGAGAAAACAACGCAAATAATAAACGGTTGAAAAGTCACCGTTTAGCTGCAGTAACGAGAGAAGGATTCGTTTTGACCACCACAGGGTTTAGAGGTTTATGTAAAGCCTATTATAAGAAAAAATTTAATCAATTAGCGGACTATGAATCTTTCTTGGCTGAAACCAAACCTCAACTAATCGAACTTCTTACAACACTCGTTGCTGAAAATGCCATCAAATATACGTTGAAACTTGAGTCGACGTACAAAATCCCATCCACCGAGGTTCTTGAAAACCGGGCTTTCAAGACGTGTGCGAGGACATTGCTACCTGAGACCATCATTGAAGACCAAATAACTGATGACTTTAACAAGTTATTAGTTGAAGAAGAAGACATGGCTGGCAAAGGATCTGGGTTTTCTCTGGAAAAGATTGATGGTATATTAGTAGATGTGTTTCAATATTCGCCTTTCGGTGGCTCATCGTATATACCACTCCCGGAAGCCATTGAAAATAGGAAAGCAACAGTCAATGTACAAAACACGGATCAGCAATGTTTTCGATACAGTATATTGGCAAAACACGTGACTACAGCTAACCCGCACAGAGTAACACACTATGAAGGTATGACAGACCGGTACAACTTTGCCGGAATTAGTTTCCCCACTCCGTTGTCCGAAGCAAAGAAATTTGAGAAGAATAATAAAGAAGTGTCCATCAATGTTTATGGTTTCAAGAAAGGTAATCGTACGTATAAAAACAAGGCGAAGAACAACATTCCTAACCATAACAATGAAAAAAAAGATTACATTATTATTCCATACCGAGTATGCACCATTGAGCAACCGAATCATTTCGATCTGTTATACTTCGATGATGGGAAAGGCAACTTTCATTATTGCTATATCAGAAACCTGACACGACTGGTCGGTCAGCAAATGTCAAAAAATAACAAAGAAAAGGCCATATGCAGACGATGTTTCAAGACTTATGTGGATGAAGCAGGAAAAGCCCAAAAGGAATCCAGACTGGACGAGCATAGAAGAATATGCAACAAAAATGAATCTGTAACGCCAATTCTACCCCCACCAAAAACTTATATGAAATTTGAAAATTATGGTAATACTCAAAAACATGATTTGTGATTTATGCGGATTTTGAGTGTTTGTTGAAGAAACCAGCTGCAGATAGTCATTTTGGGAAAACTACTGTTACCCAAGACCACGTGCCCATGAGTTATGTGTACTTAGTCAAGCCTAGCGAGGATGTCCCAAAAGAGTTGTTAGATCGATTCAACATACCACAAACTCCGGTTGTTTACAGCGGCAATAAAAACAGCGAATTAAATGATGTGCCAAAACATTTTATTCAAAGTATAACCGATGTAGCACGGAATATCGAGCAGCTTTTAAACGTTAATACCCCTATACGCATGTCGACACAGGACGATAGCAACCATAAGGCTGTCGTGAACGGCGGTCAATGCCCTCTCTGTAATTGCAAATTTTCAATATTAAATCATCCGGTACGCGATCACCACCATTTAAGCGGTAGATACAGAAAAACCGTTTGTAATAGGTGCAATTTAAAAATGCAAAGTCCAAAGTTTGTAAGTTGCATTTTCCACAATTTATCGTCTTATGACTCGCATATAATCGTTACTGAATTAGGCCATGATCCACACACAATTAACGTTATTCCTAATAGCGAGGAAAAATTCATTTCGTTTTCTAAATTTATTTCGAATAAATTTTCAGTCCGATTTTTGGATAGTTATCGCTTTATGGCCAGTAGTCTTGACAAATTAACAAATAACCTTGCCCGTTCTGAAAATCAAATAACTGTTTACTTTTTTCAGTAGAAGGGGAGGAAGCGTTCTATTACTATAATATATGTCAAGCTAATTTTTACGGTTTCCCAAAATATTAAGAATGTCTATGATCGTTTTATTAGTTGAATACTTAAAAATTTCATTATCCTTAATTAATGATGTTATATTAGTTTCAAGAGATTTAATTTTGTTAAGGTTATCGGATGCTACTTCTTGCGTCTCACGCAGCTGTTTTGTAATACTTGAAGTTAATGTTTCTATATTAGTTACTATATAATTAATTTTGGAAAGGTTATCAGATGCTAATTCATGTGTCTCACGCAATTGTTTTGTTATACTTGAAATTTGAAGGACGTTATTTCTAATGAGTTTATTATTGCCGTCGTGTGATGAAACTAGAGTGTTTATAAATGTATCAAAAGTCTCTCCAAACACGTTCATACATATAATTTAGATTCTTTTGTTCGCACAATTTTTTCTACTAAGTAGTCGTGGGGGTAATTTGTTTTGGACAATTCTTCTGTGTAGAAACAACCCAGTATAGGGTTATTTTTATAATCTTTAAGTAAATAAGTGGGGGGCTCTGTTTTGTTGACTTTAGTAATGCAAAACACCTCCGTCGATCAGTTCTGAAGGTATTTTTTATCAAGGAAACTTTTAAAAATTGATATTCTAACGTTATCACCAATTTTAAATCTGACTTTTTTATAAGGAATCACACGTTCGCGTAATTTAACTAGTGAGGGGTTTGCATTAGCTTGTGCAGGTGTTAACCCTATAGAACTGTGTATAGTATGATTATATTTTTCAGTTATTGATGGTAGAATATCTATCCAATTATGTGAACCTCTAGCCGTGAACTCTCTATACATAAGAGTTTAAAGCGTTCTATTAAATCTTTCGACGATGCTTGCTTTCAATGTTGAAAAAGTTGAGTACCGTTTTACTTAATATTTTTCAATTAATTCATCAAACAACTTTGAGTAAAACTCCCCACCTTTATCCACTTGCAAAAGTTTAGGACACTGAGTATCAAATATTTTAGCCATTGCTAATGTAACCTCTTTACTGGTTTTTGATTTTAATGGTGCTGTGTATGCATATTTTGTATAACAGTCTAATACTGTGAGTAAATATTTATACCCCTTATTAACCCTGGCATGTTGTACCATTTCACACAAATCTGCTTGAAACAAATCATTTTTACCATATAATACAACTCTTCTTCTAACAAAGTTTATTCTTGCTGGTTTGTGTAGTTCGTTGGCGATTTCCCGTTTAGACATAGGGAATTCGTTTTATTAATTTATACTCGAGTAGTTCTTGCCAAATTAATGTGATTTCATTCGATACACCCGTATTACCTGCTGCTTGTGAAGCTAATAGTAATTTTAGACGTTCACACAATTCGTTTGGATCTTTCCAAAATATAAGCTCTTTTTTAACGTTTTTTCTTAATGTTAAAGTAAGACCGTCTCCTTTGAGGAATAAGTCTACAATGAGATTATATTTATTCCCACCTTTTCGAATATGCGTTTTGTTTTTGTTTAAGTGAACATTTGATTTTAATAACATATCTTTATAGCTCACCAAATCGGACTCAGTATAGTTGACTGGGTTTTTTGAAAAAATTAACTGAATGATACCCATGGTTAATGGGTATGACGTGTTATCTAAATAAACTACATTTTCTTTAGCCTCGAACACTAACGCACACCCCCCATGAGTAATTTGCCCAGTTTTTTTATCGTGTTTAGGTCCATAAAGTTTATCCAAATTATTAGACTTTAACAATGTTTTTATGCGCGTGTTAATAAAGTCTTCTAAATCGGCCACATCATGGCTTTGATCTTGTGTCTGTACGGCAATATCTGTACTCGTTTGTACAGATTCATTTACCGGTTTTTCTTTTGATTTATTTTTAGTTAATTTTATATCCGTTAGTTTTTGGAGAGGTTCAATTATAGGATTTAGATTTTGTCTTATGGCATGTTCGGTTTTCGCGTTATTTTGTTTAAGATCTTTAAATTTTTGTTTAATATTTTCTCTAGCTTGTATTAATTCCTTCATTAATGTGTAACTTTCCTCCGTCATGTTTGATCGATAAATGACTAAATCGCTATGTGAGTTAGACTCTATATAGTAACAAACGTGTCGAAATTGAGCCTATAACGGCCGTTATCTCTCTCATCGTCTTTGCTAATAACTATAAAATTATATTTTTCACGATTCCAACAGGTTGTACAAAACTCGTTAAATTGATTATAGGACATGTCAGAAGCTACATGATCATTGTAAATATGTTTTAAGTTGGTCTGATCCATTTTGAACACCACAAGAAAGTTTGCGTTATCGCGTAGAATTCTTTTATCTAAATATGAATAACTTTGTGCACAATATAATAAATCCAAATTATTATGCCGACCACGAGCAAAATATGCACGTATAACACCTTGACTTTCTGTTAAAACGTCATCGAAAATAAATGTGCTTTCGGGTAAAGCTTTCTCAGGTGGAATTACAGTATCACTTTCGTTGAAAGTAAACATCTTCATACCATCAATACCAGATATAATATCCTTTAACATTTTATATTTCGGTTGATCTACAGTTTTCGAGTATAAATAAATGTTTTGAAACTTAATCCCATTAATGTTAGTAAGTAAAGAGTACACGCAGTTGGTTTTCCCCCCTCCACTAGGGGCTAAAATTAAGGCGCGGATTGAATGTGGTAGTAAATAGCCATTTTTAGACTTAGTCTGATACATCTGCGGAGGATCCGCGTTTAAAACTGAAAGTTTAGTATCTTGTGGTAAAAATATCATAACGGTATAAATATATCTGATTAAAAACGTTAGGGATCATAGGGTCGCAAGAGATTGCGACATAGTGTATTATTTCCGTCTACAATAAGATCTTTGGTAGTCGAATTATCTGGCTGTGGAAAAACAAATCTAATCTATTCTTTGCTCACGGATCTCAATGGGCTTAAGTTTGAAAACGTATACATCTACTCGAAGACGCTTGATCAACCAAAGTACATACTTTTGAAACGAATTTTAAACAATTTACCCGGGGTGCGCTTGTTTACTTTTTATGAAAATGAGCAAGTCATAACTCCTGAAAAGGTTCTCAAAAATAGTATTCTGGTGTTTGATGATATAATTTGTGAAAATCAAAACATCGTTAGATCGTTTTTTTCTCGCGGGTGGCATAACAGTACAGACTGTTTTTATCTCGGACAATCTTACTCAAGAATCCCGAAACTTTTGATCAGGGATAATTCAAATTTTATAATACTCTTTAAACAAGACGAGTTGAACTTAAAGCATGTGTACAATGATCATTGTTCAGGTGATATGAGCTTTGCGATTTTCAAGGAGTTTTGCATGACTTGTTGGAATAGAGAAAAATTCGGTTTTGTGGTGATCAGCAAAGAAGATAATAGAGACGAAGGACGATATCGCTGTGGTTTCGATTGCTTTGTGATTATATAAAAGATATGGAGAGTCGATTTCACAGCATTCGTATTGAAACGGTTATCATGACACAATGGACGATGCAAAGCTTGTACTCCCCGAACTCATACGAGCTAGAGAAAATATTAAACAGAAATATAACGCTTTAAAACAGGGTTTGGCGGACAACAATGCTTTGATAACGTCTACACTTAAACCTATAAATTCACCGCTCGAGCGTTTATCTGCAGATCGATCAGTTTATGACAATGGCAAAAGTTATGTGGCGGATAATAAAGTCATTAGCGAGACGGACGAAGGCTCGCATATGTCATTGGTTGAGGATGGTGTTTCTTCAAGAGTGGGAAAACTTGATAACTTCAACATTAACAGTTGGCTGAAATCTAAGAATAGAGACAGAGTGTATGGTGTTAAGCAAGATTCCAAAGGTCAATTATCTCTTGGTGAATCCAACAATGTCGTGTTCGATGAAAAAACATCAACATTGTTTATCGATAACACACCTTTCCCACTAACTCAAGGACTACTTCAACTATTGTTTATCAAGGATCCTAAGAAATACACTAAAGATGATTTAAAAAATTATAAACAAGTACTAGTCGCTACTTCTGCTCATTTAACTAAAAACAAAAATAAAATCAAAGTTGGTGGTAAGAAATACGAGAATATCATAAGTGGTTTATTTTCTACGAGTGGAGCGGGTCTTTCTAAGTCGCTTCAGAAAGGGTATAAAGAGACTTATATATTTTGGAATGATCCAAATGAATTAGTTGAGAGACTCAAGTTATTACTCTCGTCTCAAGCAGCCGGCAACACGGGTGTGTCCAACGAAATACTCTCAATTTGAGAGGAGCTTTTCGAGGCGG